TTATTACGGTGTATCCATATAAATGGCCCACCCTGTAGAACAAACATCGTGTTTTATGCCTAACATGCATCCCTGCATAGTATGTACACTCAAGAGTGCAGTAGGGTAATAGCAGAACGCAATTTCAGTAAGTGGCATCCACAGTGACGCATAAATCAAGCGAGCAGAGTCGCTCTGTGCCTGTACTGCAGCAACATTTGAAGGGTGTGCTTTTTCTTTTTTTTTTGCATTTTGTTCATGCTGTAGATGAACAGCATGGGGTTGTCAAATCCTGCTTAGATTTCACTGCTATAACAGCTCCAGACTGACGCTCATTTCTATTACAAGAAGCAGACAGTTGTGCTGTATAAAAACTTGCAGGACTAAGTGTAAGATGACATCTGACAAGTGTGCTCAAAATTTGACAAACCAAACCAACTAATGGATTAATCTGTGCAGAGTTTGACAAGAAATCATACACAAGATGCTCTAAAAGGAACACGTCTTTCACTACATCCTAAATACACTCAGAAACAAATCAGTGGCAGTTGCAATATTTTGGCACAACAAGTAATAAAACCTCCAGCTCCCAAATGCAGTCACATTCATCACAGCTACTGTTCAGAGAGCATACACCTCCCTCATGGTTACGACCCTTTATGAGCCTGCTTAGACCTCCATGTGTATCAGGGTCAGCGTGTGTGCGTGTTCCTGTTTGAACATCTATATCTATCCAGGAAGTATGTGTTTAGAACATTAAAGTCAGCTCAATGGGGCCATCTGGGAAGCTGGCTGTTATAATTAAATTGGATATGAAGGGGCAGGAGTGGAAGCAGTGTTGTATGAGGAAGGACAGAGGGTCAGGGGATGTTTAGGCCGCACATGCTCCAGCTGCAGAGGACCATTTTGCAGGGTCCACACTGTGCCAAAACGATGGCTAATCCAACAGATGCTTTCAGGTGTTGGCGAAATTTGACAATTCTCATATCTAAAAGGCAGACGCAGTGCCAAATAATTAGCTGTTGTGTGCTGATTTTGAATGAGAAATGAACAGGAAAGCATAATATTTTTGGAAGTTTGCTAATTAGATTGTTATTAAACACTAGGTGTAAAGATTCTTTTACACTTTTTAAAGTCTGCTTTCAGTTCACACACACACGCATCAAGGGATACTACAGTGTTAATCACAGCTTAGAGCCTTCCACTGTGCCTCTGCTGCCCCACTGCATGTAATTGTGCCACTGTCAGGTGTACCTAACAGCTGGTACCATTACACTTTGTCCTGCTGTCTTTCTATTGGTGGCGGCTGATTTTTCAGCTGGTGAAAGTTGATGTGTTTGTGTGCGATGCAGAGAAACACATTTGCTTACTCTACACGAAGCAGCCCTTCTTCAAGATTCTGAAATATAATTTCTCCATTTGAGATAATTTAGTATCTTTTCTTTGTTATGCTCGATAGCCTGGCAGCCGTGACTTTGCAGAGTGTCACAGGCGAATCAGAATTGAAAACAGATAAGCCCATCCGCCTGTTGAAATGACTTTAGATAATCACTCGTGTAAGGCCAGTGTTAGCACAAGCTCTTTTATCCTAATTTCCCCCTCATGCATTCTGTGCTGATGCACAATTTCAAGATATGAGCAACGCTCTTGAGGCAATGCATTTCAGTCAGCTAAAGCCACTGGATATACGCAGTGTTACGTGTCATGTTAATTTCTGAATAATGTTTAATGGGCTTCTCTTTGTCTGTTTGCTCAGGTGGCCTCCCTGGGTGTGACCACCTTCACCCTGTGTGCTCTGTGCATCGACCGCTTCCGTGCAGCCACCAATGTCCAGATGTACTACGAGATGATAGAGAACTGCACATCTACTACTGCCAAGCTAGCCGTCATCTGGATCGGCGCCCTCCTCTTGGCACTCCCGGAACTCCTCATTCGACAGCTCGTGGCAGAGGACACGGGAATCCCAGATGAGCCCCCTGTGGAACGCTGCATTATCAGGATATCCACTTCACTGCCTGACATGCTCTATGTGCTGGGCCTGACGTACGAGGGTGCTCGGCTGTGGTGGTGCTTTGGCTGCTACTTTTGTCTCCCCACTCTCTTTACAATCGGGTGCTCATTAGTGACGGCGCGCAAGATTCGGCATGCAGAACAGGCCAGCGTGCGCAGCAACAAGAAGCAGATCCGGTTAGAGAGCCAGATGAACTGCACTGTCGTCGCGTTGGCAATCGTCTACGGCGCGTGCGTGGTGCCTGAGAACATCTGCAACATAGTTTCTGCCTACATGGCGGCCGGAGTTCCTGAGCATACCATGTCCGTGCTCCATCTCCTCTCCCAGCTGCTGCTCTTTTGTCGGGCCGCCGTGACGCCGGCACTGCTGCTCCTCTTGTGTCGTCCGCTAGGCAGGGCATTCCTGGACTGCTGCTGTTGCTGCTGCTGCTGTAACCACGCCCCCTCCTCAGCCACAGCGAGTGACGACAATGAACACGAGTGCACTACTGAGCTGGAGCTGTCGCCATTCAGCACCATCCGCAGGGAGCTGAGTAACTACACACCTGCTGGGTCCAACTGCTAGACTGACATTACCATCAGGGAAGGTGATGTCACTAGCCTGATATCTGCCTGTGGCTAGTATTTCTCAAGACTCGGCTAGGAGAGATTTGCCTTACCTAGTCCACTTACATCTCTAAATGGGTGCATGAAGGAAGTTGGGTGCTCTAAATATGTTCATCCTGTTATTCAAGATCATCAACTTTACGATATTTGTATAACTGTTTTTCCAGGACATATAAGAAAAGGCAAAGTTGTCTTTCCACTCTTGCCATGGGGTGCTTCTAAAACTTGGTCAGTACTTATTTTTAGCAGTCCTGCCTGAAACCTTTAAGACTTACTCACTTCCCTTTTGTAAGCCTTGTTTAGCTAAATGTTTTGGGGTAGTTGTAATGACCTCCTAACCAGTTGAGGCCTGGTTCTTCACAAGTTAAAGAAATAATCTAATTTGGAGTATTTACACTGTAAATACGTCACAACAAGTAGGGTCTTTCAGTTATTTGTGATAACAAATGTGGATTTGGCAACCACGAAACAAAAACACGTCCAAGAAAATAATCAATGCTAATCACCTCCCAAATATGTCATAGTTGAAATTTTAGAGAGTTAGCTAATTACTCATGAAGTGCACCTTGTATAGTAACTCAGACACAACATCTAAGCAGTATCACCTAAACATGTAGGCTCACACTGCCCATAAGAAGTACAGCTAAGTTTACAACCTACATCAGGTGTCAGTTTATGCTTCGTGTAATGGTGCACATATGGGAACAAGGCTTATGATAATTAAACTAGCAAAGGCCAACTCAGCAGTAATGGTAGTTTGCGAAAGGAAAACACAGGGAGGAGGTTGCACTGGAGAATCCAAATGTACACAGCCACACTTACATTGTATATTGAAAAATATCCGCTTGACTCGAGCGAAGCTGGGCTGGTCTCAGAGTACAACAAACACTGACGTGTGGGAGTGGACTAATTGAAATCAAATTAGCGTTGCATGAAGTGGAATGGGATTGAATGAAACAATGCAGACTGAATTGAATACGAATAGACCGGAAATTAATGGAACGTAACACCGTGAAATGTAACTGAAAGGGACGGACTCGGCACGAAGTGGACTGAGATAGAAGTATCTGCACTACACTGTTGTATGATGTTACGCCTTACACGTTGGGCTGTATATATACTGTACACTTTCTTTGGTGCTCTTATGATGAATGCGCTGTAAACAACAGATCCATAGGTTCGACTTAGAATCACAAGAAATTTAGCTGCATACTTTGTTTCAGGTCAAGAAGATGGATTACAGTTACCTGGGACTCTTGAATAATGTAAAAGATGAACAAAATCAACAAAGAGTATCACCGAGCTGCTACATTCAGTTACTACCTTTATTCAGAGTGACACAACTAAGAATATAGTGGCACTTTCTTTTACAGTGTAGCATTTACTGGTGTTTACAGATGAATCAAAATATTAGTTACTTAACACTGTACAGTTTGGTAGATACAATAAATAACTAGTGCACACATTTTATCATTGTTGTTTTATACCACATTACTAATTATGTAAGATATTAAAAAAGGCAATAATTTTCTGTCAATAATTCAATACCATACCAATACAATACCAACCATATAACACCATATTATTTAAAAAAGAATAAGTGAAACATTGTAAATACTAGGGAACTGTTGTTGAAGCAAGTATACATTTGCACCAACAACTACAAAGGTCATAGTAAATACAAAGCAGCTCTTATTTTTGTTATTTATCCATCCATCCATCCATCTTCATCCGCTTTATCCGGGGCCGGGGGCAGCAGCCTAAGCAGAGAAGCCCAGACCTCCCTCTCCCCAGCCACCTCCTCCAGGTTATCCGCGGGAACACCAAGGCGTTCCCAGGCCAGGCCGGGGCCTTTTGTTATTTATTTACAGGTTATTTATTTACTATTTCTGAACTGTAAAACAAAGTGCTACTATTAACCCTATGGCAGGACCAGGACTAACTGACCACTGGCTAAACCCCCTACCCTGACTGGTAATTGTCCAGTCATACTTCTGCATCTGTAAATAGACACATTTTGAGCTTTGGCAACAGATAAAAGATGGGTGTAGCTACTGTAGTATCACCTGTTGGTTTCTGAATGTTTCTGCCATCGTTACCTTGGTTGCAAAAATCCAGATGTGACAAAGAGGGCAGAAGGCTCACTGGGCTAATGACTTGTGATTGGCAGCTCATTAGCTAATGGTTGTACAGTTTCATACCACAGATAAACCCCCCATTTTTAAACATAGTATGACCAAGATAAAGAAAAATATAGGGTTAATATTTCACTCAGTATCACTCAGAATGAGTGACTGAGCCCATAAATTCAACAGGAAATGTTACAGAGGTCAAGGCACACAGATATTTTCCCCCACACTTTTGTAGGACTGTAAATTTGCTTTTTTCTATTCACAGATTTATCCCTCTGATGGCCTTCAGACAGGGTTTCAGCCACTTACGTATTAGCTTAATTGTTCTGATATGGAAGCCATTTATAGTCATGCTCATTATTTAAATGCACTTAAGATAATAAAAAAGATTTATTTGCCTGCAGTGTGTGTTTTTGGGTTTAGTCTTTTAGCAAGAGCAAGATCAGCTAATAGTTAGGACAGCAGTTTTTCATTAAAATGATCAGGAAGGAAGCTGAAGACAGCATTTTCAACCAATTAGTGCTACTTACAATAACATCTTAGTTAAGCTAGCTGAGCTAGCTAGCTGCACCAGTTTTAATCTGCTAATTACAGTAGCAGTTGTAAATGGTGAGCCCTGTTACCGTTTCAAACTTGTGATCCATTTGGTGTGACATTTCGTCACACTGGCTACCGTTTAGCAGTAGTATACAACGAAGGATTGTAAAGAGACATATTTTAACCCGAACCATGAAATTTTCCTAAATTAGGGATGTTTGTGGCTAATTGACAGGTTGCTTAAACATATTATTAATATCTTTTTAATGAACAACGGCAGTTATATTAATAAAATGATGCACTTTGAGTGGAAGCTGTAAAGCAGGAAAAGGGAAAGTAAATAAATGACAGCCATGCTAACCTGCGCTGTCCTGCAACAGTGCAAAAAGGTGCGGGGAGATAGTTGTATGTAAACCTTGTCAGAATAAACTGAAACTATAATCAAGCAACTGAAGGCAGATGTATCCATATGGAAGAAACCAAGTCTACAGCTGTTAGCGCTGCTAAGGTTAGCCAAATTCAGCAAAGTATGCTGCACAGCTGAGTGTGCATGGTGCACAGCTTAGGAACATTTAAAACATGATTTGATTAACGAGGAACGTCATTTTTATATATGATTTCTAAAACACACTCAAATTTTTTGTTTTTGGCTCACGTTCAACTTCATGTGCTCAGTTTAAATGTTTTTAAACATTAGTTGAATAGTCTAATAGGTAGCAAGTCAGTCACTAGAAATATCCCTATCCCAAACCTAAACTAACATAACTAACTACTTTGGCTCTTAAGCCTAACCAAGAATTTTTTTTTAAATCTCCTATACAAGACACAAACCACAGTGTCCTGGATGGCTTGTAATGTGTTTTTATAGTTCAGACACAGTGACATTTGCTCTCTACCACCTTGTACAATCTCAGAGACGCCAGCAGCTTTGACAAAAAGTTAGTATTTATTGCCAGTAGAAGGTGAAAGCTTGGTAGCAGCTGGTTAAAGAAAATATGAGAAGCATGTTTATCTCTACCTCTGAAATCAAGAACTCAGTAAACATTTTGATGGTAAATGCCAGTATTGTTGCAAATGTAATGGGAACCACCAGTAACGTCACAACCGTAAGGAGGGCGGGGCCTAGCAACCAGTCAAATGAAGTGTCATGACCTCGAATACATTTTGCAGTTTCATTACTTGAGCTTTTAAGGAGAACCAATGAAATGTTTTTCACAGTGTGTAATTTCAAGTGTATTGTACTGTATATCCGTTTTCTTAATCCTACTAATCAGACCTGGGTCAAAACAAGGTTCGAACATCAATCTCATTTATTACTCCTGTCAAATTTATGAATAACTTAATAGATAAAACCCTAAATATATGCTATATTATTACAAGTGTATGCTTTAGAAGTTGGGATGGCATCCAGAGGGTGGGAGATGACCAAATAATGTTTGTATCTGTAAAACATCAAAAGTTCCATTTATTTAAATACTGAAAACTAACATTAACCTATGTGACCTGTGTGATGACCCAGGTGTGATGGTCATTGGTATACTGTATATTGCGATGACTTTTTTGCATACGACTGCACTGCCAAACACCTTCTCTTTCTCTCTGTCTGTCTTTTGTGCTCTTGTGGTAGTAGCACTCTATCTCTGGATGTCTCTTTCAGCATAGGGGCCAGTTTACTTTAAGCGCCATCACTACAGGAAGATGAATATTACTAGAAAATTTGAATCAGTTCAGGCCCCTTGCCTGTAATGAACAGTTTATGAGTTCCTAGGGATGCTGCCTGCAAATCAACACCCTACAGCCTGTTTGAGAGTTTTTATTATTACATCACTATTACGTATTGTAGGTCAGTGTGTGACCCTTTTTTACGGCTTTCCACCATCCAGTTTTTCCCTTTCAAATCAATTTAAAAGCAAGTTGAAGCATGGTTTGGTATCTCGTTTAATGACTGAAAGTTCCCACTTATCTCCTGCTATCTGATGGCACATAGATTTAAACTGGCTCCTAAACCTGACTCTCTTTTTTCTGCATATTTCTGGAAGTATAGCTCATAAGTGGCTCAGTGTGTAGTGATGTGGTTGAAACTTGATGAAGTGAGTCTTGTAAATCAGTCAGTGAGACGTTTATTCCGAAGTTTGTGAGTATCCTCTTCACTCTGAGCAAAACGTGTCTGTATTTGATACCTGAAAATGTAAGCACACAACCACTTTTGTCTCAAAGTCTAGTCACTCATTTCTAATAGCTTTTTATATAGCCAAAAAAAAAACCTGTCCCTTTGTTTATCAAAGAACTTTATCTTGAGAACTATATTAAATTGCTAAATGTACTATTACAGTGGTGTTGATGTATTTTGTTTGTTTTCACAATAGCTGTGAGTGCTGGGAGAGATGTGAAAGCTATAACAAAGCAACAAAGGCTGAAAGGTCCTGTCATTTAATGCGTATAAGATCAAAACACTGAATCCCCATAAAGCAACCTAATACATTCAGGATAAGAAGTATTATAAATTCCCCATAGGCTTCAAGAGAGCCTTTTTTGACAGCTGAATTAACATTCTGTAATAATGCGTTCCCTTTAAAGTACATATTCTGACTCTGAGTATTACTAGCCAAAAGAAAAGCTTTTGAGTAAAATAAACTTATTTGCTTCCCCCAAGTTGCTCAGAAAATATACATGCATGATATGAGTTTTTAAAAATAAAGCTCAAATAATAATTTGCTTTTGATTAATTTCTTGAATGGTTCAGTTCCAGTGTGCAAAATTTTGTATGTGCAATTTTACAGCTTGTTGTACTGATTAAGACCTCCCCCACACTCATTCATACTATACCAAAGTAATGAAGGATGAAGATAATTTAATGAAAGAAAATGGGGGGTGGGTCTAAAATAAATATAACATTCTGTTTTATCATTACGGGATAGTTTGGGGTTATGAGCTATGAGAAACTTTTCTTTAATTGTACCCAATAATTTCTTAAAATTTAAGCCCAAAGAGTTGTGTTGACAGATTTCTTTCATTAACTATAGTAGCATTACTTTACTGTGTAGAGGAAACTGTGATGTACGCTCGAAACTTCACCTTATCTTCCTTATCTCCTAAGCCGTAAAATGACTGACACCCTGGTCTGGCATGCAACTTGCCCAGATGACATTATGAAAATCACGGAAGATCTCATGTCCAGCATTTAAGACTTTAAAAGTTCTTCATCGAGTTAGCAAGACCAAAAGTTGTTGTTTTTTTATTGTGTTGTAATAAATAGCTGTTTGCAATGTTAAAACGGCATTCTTTTTTAAAGGTATAAAAAAGTTTGGTTGTTATATCACTGTTAATGACATGAAGAGAAAGAGCTGAACATGTGCTTAAGCCTCAGAACTTCAAATATACAAAAGCTTGAGTTGCTGGAGTTTTATACATTTAAAGTAGAAATAGTCTAAAGCTGTAATCATACACACTCATTGCAGTTGTTGCGATAGCTGCAGACACCAAAGATAAATAGTTATTCTATTTTAGCATCAAAAATTGGAAGTTACACATACATCTCTATAGAGCATTGCATTCACAGTCTGATAAAATTCACTTGGACTCACATAGTCATGCGTGCAGAGCACATTCACACATGCAGGTTCACCTCTATCAGACTTATATACCTCGATCTATCCTCCTTTGTATCAACAGTTTAGGCCAGTGTTGCTGGTGGTGCAGTGGAGTGGGGGATATTTTCTTGCGAGACTTTGGGCCCCTTGCTACAACTCCGCATTGCTGAAACACCACAGCCTACCTGAATATTGCTGTTGACCATGCCCATCTTCTTGTGGCTGCTTCCAGCAGGATAATATGGCGTGTCACAAAGCTCAAATCATCTCAAACCGGCTTCTTGAACACAACAATGAGTTCAGTGTAACACTTTGGGATGTAGAGGAACAGGGAGTTTGCATTACGTATGTGTGTAGCTGACGAATCTGCATCAACTGCGTGATGCTGTCACATCTATGTTTCCAGCACTTTGTCATTCTATCTTTTGGCTCAGCAGTGGCAGAAGATGGACAATCCCTCGACTTAATCAGCTCTTCTCTTGCAAATGCACTGCCTCACCTCAGAGAGTTTTGGCTTCGAGCATGAATGGGCTCGGAGCCAACAGCTTAAATTGATATGGCAAAGGAGAGCCAAGGTCCTCCACCACCCTAATGTCCGCTTCAGGGAATTCTTGAAGGGGAAAGTCTTTTACCTCAAATGAGCCCACTGTGCCACAGGTGCCTTGGTATTCTGTGTTGCTCTCTATTTATCTGTGGCCTACAACAACTCCTCCTCAGTCAGCCACTCACCTTATTTTTAGCACTGTTTGAAATTTTGCGATGGATGGAGTTGGGCACACATCTTGAAGTGTAGGAATACACTATTAGGAAATAGGGAAATAATTACTCCAAACTCTCCCGCTACTTGGGGTAACTCACAAACTTTGTGTCCCCATGTTCTGATTTCTGTAAAATCCTCCTACTACTGCTGTACTCTAGCAAAAGCTGTCTTCATTTTTCTTCTTCACATAACAGGGGACCATTTAAAATATTCATCAGTGATGTATCACTGTGCTGCAACACATCCTACACACCCTCTCTCCCTCTCTTCTCTCTGTTGCCTTTTCTTTGTCTGTTGCATCCAAAGTGTTATACAACGCTGACGATAGCAGCCGACGTCCCGGGTCTGTGTTTGCGATAAGAACAGAACTGTTTATGCCTCCTGTAACAGAATTAGCTGTCGTGTTGGAACACACGTGGCGATGCCAGAAAGCTTCCAGAACCACCAACCAAGACGTCTTTGCTCAGTCCCCAAGAGGACGTGGATCACTCCCACTGTTGTGAGGAGGTGGTCGCTTTCATTTTTGCTCTTTATGTAACGCAGTCTCATGTCAAAACAGAAAGCTAGGGGCTGGAGAGATGTAGGAAAGGTAGATGTCTTTCAGTTTGCTAAAAACAGCAGGTTGTTGTGACATTGAACAGGAAGAGAGAAAGGAGAACACAACTCACCTATTCAAATCTGATCTAAACAAATCACTCTAACAGAGCTTTGAAGGTGCACAGACAAATTATTAAAATGTCTCAAGCAGTTGAAACATTATTTTAAGTAATTAAAATGCATTTAGAAGATCTCATTTGAAGTCCATTATTATGAAATCAGCAGCTCATTTTGCACTTTGAATCAAATCCACTAAATATCTGTCATTTATCTCTCAAGGCAGACAACAAGAAATTAAATGTCTGGTAAAAAGCGAGAGGATTTGTTCACTTTGAGATGGCTTTTATGTATTGTCCTCCCACCACTATCTATCTCCTCCCTCATCTCACAGAAGAAGCTCTGCAATGCATATTCATGCGGGTGTGTGTGTCTGTCTACATTACGGGAGGGTTTCTCATCACAGAAAAGCTGACGGGCGATGTGCCACTCAGCTTGATAATTTCCCCCCCAAAACAGTTGGCCTCCTGCCAGTGCACTTGCTCAGGCTCAATCAGCCTCAATCAGCAACATACTTTGTAAAGTGTCTGCAGTCCTGGCTGACTGTGAGAGTCACTCTGTCTGTGTGTGTGTTTGATGTGTGTGAATGCCTTTATCTGTCTTTTTGTTGTCTCATTATGTCACTGTCTTCAAATGCTTTTCCCCAGCAGTTTCTTACTGTAGCAAAGCCTTTTCATGATCACACAGAAGGTCTGATCCAGTTTTTACAGACTGTTTTTAATCTCTTTTCAGTTTTTTTTTAAAGTTCTATTTCAGGCTCTAATGGACCCGTTCGGGGCTTGATTATGCAACACAATGAGGTAAAGAAGTATAGTTACACTGTTTACATTGATAGGACAGTTATGCAACACAGAAATGTTTAATGAATAACTGATTATTTTGTGACTTGGAAAATTTTAGTTATTTTTCTTTTGATTGTTGGTTTGCCTCTCTTTTTTGCAACTAAATATAATACACTGTATCATTTTAACCACGTGATAAGTCAGCGCATAATGTTTCAGTCTACTGACATCAATTAAGGGTGACATTATAAGTACCATATCACCTTATTAGAGCACTTCGCTCTCGCTCTGCAGGCCTACTTGTTGTTCCTAGAGTATTTAAAAGTAGAATGGGAGGGAGAGCCTTCAGTTTTCAGGCCCCTCTTCTGTGCTTCCAGTTTGGATTCGGGAGACAGACACTATCTCTACTTTTAAGATTAGGCTTAAAACTTTCCTTTTTGCTAAAGCATATAGATAGGGCTGGACCAGGTGACCCTGAATCCTCCCTTAGTTACGCTGCAATAGACGTAAGCTGCCGGGGGATTCCCATGATGCATTGAGTTTTTCCTTTCCAGTCACCTTTCTCACTCACTATGTGTTAATAGACCTCTCTGCATTTAATCATATCTGTTATTAACTTCTGTCTCTCTCCCACAGCATGTCTTTTATCCTGTCTTCCTTCTCTCACCCCAACCGGTCGCAGCAGATGGCCGCCCCTCCCTGAGCCTGGTTCTGCCGGAGGTTTCTTCCTGTTAAAAGGGAGTTTTTCCTTCCCACTGTCGCCAAAGTGCTTGCTCATAGGGGGTCATATGATTGTTGGGTTTTTCTCTGTATCTATGAAGCGCCTTGAGGCGACTTTTGTTGTGATTTGGCGCTATATAAATAAAATTGAATTGAATAAGTAGGTTTACATTACAGATTTGTAAGGTTTCTAGTTTTCTTCCAGTAAGGGAAATTCTCAGTTTACCTCTGGCTGTGGCTGACATCAGACATCAGGATCATTTGATATTACTTGTCAATCCATCCACATATACAACATGGTATATAGCTTCATATTATTGCTTCAGATATAACTAAATCTTCCTTACAAACAGATAGCAGGAGATCACTTAGTTTGCAACGTTGCATTAAATGTAAAATTAACTTTAGCTCAGAGAGAAATGCACACTGACAATAGAGTAAGACTGTTACCAGTGTTTGTGATGGTTGCTTGTATCTAAGTTCATTATTAGTTTTTAGTTTTGGTTTTGTTTCAAAGTAACAACTGTGTTTCTTAACCTCTTAAGCCCCAACGCCCCCTGATATGGGGGCAAAAAGCAGGAGATCAGGTAGGCTTGGGGCTTAAGAGGTTAAGATGGCAACACTGTAATTTACAGTTGGTGTAAATCAATGTATATATATCTTCATTTATGGAGAAAACACATGGTTTTCAAATGATATACTCACCTTGTATTGGGTTGTAAAAGGTATTTTCTTTACAGCAGCACATTTCACCAAGATCTAATTTCCTACCAGACTGCCTTTTGGTCAGTGTTTAAAGTTCACCTGAATCTTTTAGTGTGGATTCCAGACACACCCCTACATTTTCCTTTTATTTCCTTTAGTGTAACTGGGCATCAATTAAAAGAAAGAAAAGGGGGTGTGGGAGGGGGGGGGGTTGATTTTCAGCCAAGCAATCTGGTCAGAGTAAGGTTGCTTTTCTGGTTGTGCTTTATGAATGGTTGCTATGGCAACCATGGATTCAAGTTACCATCTTTTCTAAATTTCCCCCATTTCCTTTTTTTTTCTATCAAGGCAATAAAATCAGTTTATGAAGGTGATGCTATCTTTGACTGTATGTGGAGACAGCCCAAAGGTATTCTTTCTTTGCTGTGATTTTCTAGCATAATGATGAATTACCTTTAATTTAAAATACAGGCTACATTGGTTATGCAGATCTCTTAGATTTCAAGGTTTCTCTTTTTTTTGTTTGGATACTGCTTTAACTCAAGGAAAAATAAAAGAAACTTGCAAGGGCTAAATAGTAGGCAGACAAAAGTTAGAAACATATTCAAACATTTAGCTGCTGTATATAGCCAAAATGAAAAACTCTTAGGTAACAGTAAGACTTCATATAACATTTTTTCCATCTACTTGTTAGTAAACATGCTATGATGAATAGTTTGGTGTTTAGAGGACAACAGAAATAAAAATAGAAATTCAGAAATATATATAACCACAGGATAATCATAGGCAGTGAAAACAATGGATGTAGCTTCCACATCACAAAAAATAAATGCATAAGTATACTCAGGTTGTATCTGAAGGCCATGAGAAAGTAATAGCTGTGGTTACAAAAAGACGTCCAGTCCTGTTGAAGTCTATGCTAAAATGGTTTTCTGTCTCGTCCTCGTTAAACACATTCCTGCAAAGTTCATGGACTCATTCACTTGTCTTGGATCATAGTCTGTTTTGAAAATCTTGTTAATATTATATTTCAAAAAACAGTGGATTGTCTGTGATC